CTTCTTCACTGCCTTCTTCCTAAACATTGTCTCCTGCCAGGGCCAATAGCTCATGCCTATAGTCCTAGCTACTCAGGGGTTCTAAGACTCACAGTTCAAAGCCAGCTGGGACAGGAAAGGCCATTCGACTCTTATCATCAATGAACCAGCAAAAATCCAAAGTGGCCCTGTGGCTCAAATAGTAGAGCACTAGCCTTGAACAATAAAGTTCAGGGACAGCGCCAAGGCCCTGAGTTCATCCAGCATCAGCACAAAAACAAATCAATTGCCGTCTAGTATGAGGCCCTGAGTTCAAATCCCAGTACCACACACACACACACAAAACTATCAGTGGCTCAAGCCACTGGCTCAAGCAGTAAAGTGCCTGGCTATAACAAAAATTAATAGATGCTGGTGATTATGGTCTTTCTCTGTACCAGGGCCAAGTGTTTTCACAGGAAACTACTAATCCTCACCACCACCCCACCCCTAGAAGCAGATGCTGTAATCTGCTTTTTCCCCCAAGCAAGGAGACAGAGATGCCAGAGCTCAGCTCATTCAAGGACACTTGGCGTGGGAACGTGGGAACAAGAGGCCGAGCTGTCTCCAGTCTCTTCACCTCTGCTCCAAAGGGAATAGAAAGCCCTCCCCCCTGGGAACTGACATGTCTGTGCACTTGGATTTTCCACATTGACTACAGGAGGAACGGACATAGCACACAGATACACACACACACACACTTGAATATGAAGATTGATATTTTGCATTGACTTTGGCTTAAGATTTGGGATAATTAGAAAGTCTTTTGTTTTCTTTTTCCTTTGATGTGTTCCGTCTCAGGCTGCCTCCTTAGACAGGAAACTAAGCCACAGAAAAGGCTGGGAGGATGGTTTCTTAGCCTGACGTGAGGCGGCGGCATTGCAGACTCCTTCAGAGAGGAAATGAAGACATAGCTCACCCTGTATTTCCCTGAGGGCATCAGATGCCCCTAGAAACACCGGCAGCCAGGTGGCATACCTGCTTCCAGGCAGGTGGCTCCCACAGACCCCACTCTAGTATGCCAGGCTCTGATTGAAGTGTTGGGCTTTCATTAAGTCACTCAACCCTGACAACTCCCCAATGTATTTCTGTGACTGCTCCATTTCACAGTCCAAGTCATGGAGGCACAGTGAATTGAAGTCCCAGAGTCTGTGGAAGAGCTGGAAAATGATCTCAAACAACCCAATCAAGTCCAGAATCTAAGCCACTTTTACCCTTTAGTCCAAACCTTTCTCTCTAGTCTTGGCCACAAAGCCCAGGGGTATCTCCATTACAGCTGAGGAAACTGAGGCTCAGCAGAGTGGAAAGGTTTTACTGAGGTCTTGCAGCTGGTCAGCACTTGCAAAAACCCAGACCTCTTTTCAAACCACACACTCTACTGCTTCTGCTTAACATTAGACAAAACGCTGAGGGGGCCTGTGAGCAGAAGTGTAGGGTCAAATGTTTACATAAAATCAGAGCCCAGCATGGTTGCGCGTTCCTGTAATCCCAGCACGCAGAAGGCTGAGGTGGGCTGATTCTGAGGTCCAAATCAGCCCATGCTACGTACTGAGATCGGTTCCTTTCTGCTCACCGAAGGACTGAAAACAAACATGGAGGCAACAAGGAAGCCAGGGTTGTGTCAAAGGTGTGAGCCATTAGTGGTGTCTCTTGACCAAGCCATTCTGCATTTTCAGATCTGTCTTGCAACAGTCGCGTGTCTTACGGAAGACACGCCAAAAACACCAAAACACCAGCTTACGCCCCAGCCTCACAAGTCCATTGCTGATGAACTCTCTTCCTTGGTAAAACTAAACAAAAATAAATAGGGCTGGTCAGACTCACTTCCTGACCTAAAGAGAGAATAAACACTGCCCAGAGTCTCAGGCCCCTTCGTAGGGCAGGCTGCTAGACCCCTGCAGAGGCCCTGCCTGCCACTGCTCACTGCTCAGTGCTCTCAGGTCCTTCTTGGCCAAGACTGATGGCTGGAGACAAGCGTTGTGCTGAAAACTCATTGCTAAGGCAACCCCAAGTTTGTGAAACTCTGCATTGCTTATTTCCTTACTTGAAAGAGCGGTTGGTTCCCCTTGAGGAAGAAGTTGCCGAAGGGGGACCGTTTCTCACTGTCTCTGTTCTCTTTTTGTTTTATTTTTGGGTGTTTGTCTGTTTGGTCTGCAGGATCAGGGCTTGAGTTTAGGGCTTCTCACTTGCTAGGCAAACATTCTGTCCCTTGGGCCCTATTTCCAACCACTTTTGCATGTATCAGTATCTATCTATATCTAGTTAGATAAGGTGTCATGATTTCTTGCCTAGACTGGCTTGGACCATGATTCTCCTACTGATAAAAGCCTCCCACATAGCTGGGTCAGCAGGTGCATGCCACCATGCCTGGCTTACTGGTTGAAATTGGGTTCTTGGTAACTTTTTGTCGAGGCTGGCCTTGAACCTCAGTCCTCTGGGTCTCTACTTCCTGTATAGCTGGGATTACAGATGTGAGGTACAACATCCAGCTTTACTGTCTCCCTTCTTGCCCACCTCCATCAGGAATTATCTCTAGTTCCCCCAGGGTGTGAGTGTTCTCTGTATTGTGTGTGTGTGTGTGTGTGAGAGAGAGAGACAGAGACAGAGAAAGAAAGTTTCTTTTAAAGATGATGACTATATTGAGATATAATTCATGTACCAATTTGTCCATTTTTCTTTTTGTTGGTACTGGGATTTGAACTTTCTAGATGAGGACCTTTTTTGCTTCAGTTATTCTTCAGCTTGGTTCTTCACACTTTCTGCTCAGGCTGACTTCAGACCACAGTTCTCCCGACTAGGCTTCCCGAATAGCTGTGATCACAGGCATGTACCACTAGGGCCAGCTCATTTTGTAAGACAGGATCCAGCTCACTTTCTTGCCTCAGCTGGCCTGGAACCACAACCCTCTCAATCTGTGCTTTCCACACATGCACGTGCCTGCTCACATGCATACACACACATGCACATGCTTTCACTTACACACACACACACACACACATACACACCTCAGTCCATAAAAAAGGCAGAAAAACAATGGCTGCTTCCAACACAGTGCTTTTATTGTTCTATGAAATTATCACAGAGAAATGTTTTTTGGTTTCTTTTCCCTTTTTCTTTAAATTGTTATTGTAAAGGTGACTTCCAGAGAGGTGACAGTTGCATAAGTCAGGCAAAGAGTACATTTCTTTTTGGACAATATCACCCCCTTCCCTCCCTCACTCCCAGTTTTCCACTTCCAATGCCACTCACAAGTTATATAGGTCCTTTTTAACACAGTTGCTACTGAGTACCACTGGGAGAAATGTTTTGTTTTTCATTTGTCTTAGGGGCCGGGTGCCAGTGGCTCACACCTATAATCCTAACTGCTCAGGAGGCTGAGATCTGAGCATCGCAGATGAAAGCCAGCCCTGGGCAGGAAGGTCTGTGAGACTCTTACTCCCAATAACCACCAGAAAACTGGAAGTGCCGCTGTGGCTCAAGTGGTAGAGCGCTAGCCTTGAGTAGAAAAGCTCAGGGACAGCACCAGGGCCCTGAGTTCAAGTCCCATGACCAACAAAAAGAAAAGGCAGAAAGTAAAACCACTATCTTCCTGCCTGAACAGGAGACATCTTGGAGGGCTCATCGGAACTCTGTCCGGGGGGCTGAGCCAGTTCACCAGGCTCTTAAGGGTGTCTGCTCTGTTACGCTCACTGCTTTGACAGCCTCCCAGGACATCCGCTCCAGAAAGAACCTTCAACTGCAAGCCCTTACTTGATTCACAAGGGGAAAGTGAGGCTCAAGCCTGCTAAGGGCAAGCCCCAGGTCAACTGCATTGGTGGAAGAGCTGGGGCTCAGGCCCAGGCACCTCCCATCTCTTCTTTCTTCTCCCAAAGCTTACGAGAGCTCTCCAACCAGAATGTGCGTCTGAGTCCCCTGGGCCTTCCACCTGCCAGGCCAGTGGAGACCCTCAGCCATGACAACCTCTTGCTTCACCTGGACAGTCACCTGGTGGCAGGTACTGCAAGTGAAACCCCTCCATATCGCGTGTCTCCAGGTCCTCAAAGTCACGTGCATGGAGTGACCGCCTGCCTTGACGTCACTGAGAACGTCCACACATGCTCTGGCCTTGGGTCTGTATGATAGCAATCTGCCTGGCAACAAAGATTCTTTTTCTTTTTCTTTTTTGGTGGTAGTGGGATTTGCACTCAGGCCTCATGTTTCCTAGGCAGGAAGTACTCTACCACTTGAGTCACATCTTCAACTTTTAAGCCTTTTGTTATTTCTTTTGAATAGGATTTTTTTTATTGTGAAAATTTCATACAGAGGGGTTACAATTACCTGGGCAAGATAGTGAGTACATTTCTTATCAAGCATTGTTGCCTCCCCCTTTGTTTCCCCTTCCCATCCCTTCCCCTCTCCACCGCCCCCCAACCCTCTCCCCCCCACCGCCCCCACCAAAGTTGTAAAGTTTATCGACAGAACATCATATACATCTCATTGTTGCAATGGGCCTACCTGTAACCCTATTTAAACAATTTGTTTTTCCCCTTCCCCTCCACAAATTATACCAACATCAAATACAGTGAAAGCAGGGCTTCTACCCTGGGGGAGGTACATACAAAGTAACAAAGAAATCATCTTATAAATATGTTGGAAACAATCGCAAGAAAGAAAAAAAAAACATTTGAATCCTTATCTTGGGGTTCATTTCGCCTAACATCAACTTGTCTGACAGTTTCTATTTGTCTCAGACTTTTTGTGCCCAGGATCGATTCTCCTATTTATGCTTCTCAATGTAGTTGGGATAACAGATGCATGCCACCATACCCAGGTTTTTATTGGTTAACATGAGGTCACATGAACTTTTTATCTTGTCTGGTCTCACTAGCCTGAGGATCTTAGCTTCCTGAGTAGCTGGGATTAGATACCAGCCATTATGCCTGGCTGAGGTTCTCTTCTTGCTGGTCAGAAATCCTGGCTTACAATGAGATGTTCTTCCTTCCTTTTTTTTTCCAGTCCTTTTGCTTTCTTTTTAAAATAATGGCTACTTAATAGAAGTATCTTGAGTGGGCAAAGTCTTTGCAATCCTCAGAGGGGAGGAAAAGTTAGGGAAAACATCCCCAGAGCTTGAAAAGCAATGACTTCTGATCTACGCGGCCAGAGAAGGGCTTTCTTTCTGAATGCGGCATTCACGGTACACCAAGAAGGGATGGACGAATGTCAGGAGAGTGGCCAGCACTAGTGTGACATTCACCTGGGGGAAGAGGAAGACAGAAGCCAGTCCAGCGGCTCTGAGACACACCCACCTCCGCCCACAGATCAGAGCTGAGCTTAGTTCACAATCTACGCTCCATCAGGACACTGTGGTGCTTGGGAGGAAGGACTTAAAGTTGTTTTCACAATGAGGAATTCCCCCCCCCCATTTTTTTTTCCTGGCACAGTTCCTGGGGCTTGAACTCAGGGCCTGGGCTCTGTCCTTGAGCTACTGTTTTGCTCAAGGCTAGCACTCTATCACTGGAGCCACAGCTCCATTTCCAATGTTTTTAGGTAGTTAAATGGAGATAGGAGTCTTATAGACTTTCCAGCCCAGGCTAGCTTCAAACTGTGATCCTCAAACTTCAGCCTCCTAAGTAGTTAGATTACAGGTGTGAGCCACCAGCGCCCAACTTTCCTCCATCTTTAACCTTGTTCCTTCCTTTTCTCCCAGTGAAAGGTCTGAACTCTTGTTTTATACCTTGTCCATGTGTTTTAATAGAGGAAGAGGTATACATGAGACAGAGCATGGATTCCAAGGGAAAGACAGATTCAGCCTGGTAGCTGTCTGAATACATAATTGTCATGTCTTTGAGCCTCAGTTTCTACAAAATCTGGAGAGTCTGGCTCACCTCCTAGAGCAGGTCCTATGAGGTATGGGGACCCAAGGATATAAAGTACAGAGCTCCTACCCTTGGCCAGCTGCTACCCATACCCATAGTGTGTGTTGGAGCCTAGGGAAGAGGTGAGGATTTGCTTGCACTCACCAAAAGCAGGGGGAAAAAATTATTGCAATCTTAAGGTTTTTTTTTCTATTGTTGTTGTTGTTGTGTTGTTTCTTGATCTTTGTGCCTGTTCTAGGGCTTAAACTCCGAGCCTAGTATGCTGTCTCTTAGCTTAAAGCCAGTGTTCTACCACTTGAGCTAGACCTCTACTTCTGGCTTTTTGGTAGCTAATTAGAAGTGAGAGTTTCAGACTTTCCTGCCCAGGCTGGTTTCAAACCATGATCCTCAGATCTCAGCCTCCTGAGTAGTTAGGATTTTAGATGTGAGCCACTGGTACACGGCTGAAATCTTCAATTTTCACTTGAAATTTTGTGACAAATTGCGTCCTACTTCACAATAGGTATGTGTGTTTATGCCCACACAAAATTCTTCCCCAAAACTTTGAACAGTACAGACTCCCTGGGAAACTGCACCTTGTGAATTGAGGATCCCACAGGGACACCCCCTGGTATAAGCAAGAATACTCCCCACTGACCTTACTTTAAGAAGACCTCATGCCCACCCAGGTCACCTGAGCCAGCTTTGGCGCCCCCTGCTGGAGGCCCGTGGAGCGGGGCGCCGTCCCTCAGGAATGTCCTGCTGGTGGTTTACAGTACTTACATAGAAGGGGTCATTCTGGAGGGGTCCTTTGATAAGCGTGAAGATGGGGAACTGGAGCAGCGACACAATGGCCGACAAGGCCATCACTAGCCCAAACAGCTTGCCAAAGTGCTCTGAAGGAAAACTAGGGGAGAGAAGCACACAGGATTCCAGTGAGTTTGAGGGACTCTTCCTGTAAGCAGGGCTCTGTTCCTGGGGGCCTTTGCCAGCCATGCATGCTAACCCCCTCCTCCTAGACCTTGCCTCCATCTACCCACAAAGCCCTTCCTCCTCCTCTTCCTTTCTCAGGCACTCAAAGCCCAGGATAGAGAAAAGGTACTATGCTGAGCTCTGGATCCCTTTTGTTTTCCCAAATCCAACTTGCTGTCATGTAACCACTTGCAGGCCTGTCTCCTGACCTTCAGAGTTCTTTACCCTCAGCCCACTTGCCTTTGCCTCAGCGGGTCCCCCATCACGGCACACCTCCCACTTACGCAAGGGTGAGGAAGGCGGCATTGCCCCCGTACAGGAAGGAGCGACTGACCACCTGTAGGATGAAGGTGGTGTACTGGAGGGAGAGGATGGGAATGGAGGCACAGATAGCGAAGCCCAGGCACAGCAGAGATGTGAGGGCCAGGGAAGGTACCGCAGAGCAGAGGGCCACAGCCGAGGGGGAGAGACCTGGTTCAAAAGAAAGGAGAACAGAAGAAGGAGAATCAACATCTACCCAACTATCCAGGGAGAACCATGCAGGTCATCCTCGACCCACACGTCCAATGCCAACTCCTCAAAGACGGTGATAACCCACCTCCTAAATGCCATGTGAGTGTGTCCACTGCTCCCTTTCCCCACCAGCTCCTCACTATTAACTCTCTTATAGATCACTTCTGTGAGCTCTGAACAAGCTCCAAATCCACCTGTGCACCCTGCAACCTGAAGCCATACATTCTGTTGTAACTCTAGTGGTAAAAAGGGAACAATCAGAAACAAGCCCAATGGCCAATAGGAGAAGACAGGACCAGGTACACCACAGCCATGTGCTGGAGAACTAGGCCATCATTAAAGGGTAAGGAGAGGCACCTGCTAGAGAAACCTCAGTGGTGTGTGTGTGTGTGTGTGTGTGTGTGTGTGTGTGTGTGTGTGTGTGTGTGTGTGTGTGTGTGTGTGTGTGTGTGTCAGAGACAGACAGAAAGAGAGAAGAGAGAAGAGAGAGATCTTTTAAAAATAATAAAAATGAGTACCTAAAGAAAGAGGAAAGGGGAAGTGGAGCTGTGGCTCAAAGCAGTAGAGCACTAGCCTTGAACAAAAGAGCTCAGGGACAGTGCCCAAGCTCTGAGTTCAAGTCCCATGACCGCCAAAAAAAGAAAAAGGAAAGGAAAGAGGAATGAGAAACTGAAGTGTACTAAACTTCTTTGAATATGGCTTGTTTCACAGTTCTAGATTTGCAGAAAGGTACATACTTAACATTTAAATACTTATTAAAATAAAATTAAGGGCTGAAGAGGGGCTCAAGTAGTAGATTGCTTGGTAAGCCCTGTGTTCAAACTCCATCATGATATAAATAAATAAATAAACAGGAAGAAAACAAGTGAAACAATCCTGCCAAAAATCAGAAAATAAAATGAAATCAATGAAGTGGAATGTGGATGAAACTATCAGTATTAAGTCTTTGTGACAGGGGTCAGAGGCATGGCTCAGTTGGTAGTACCCTAGCCCATGAGCCAAAACATCAGGTATGGTCTCAAATCTCCCCCTCCCCCCACCCCAAAGCAAGAAATAAAGAAGGAAGGAAGGAAGAAAAAGGAAAGAAAAAAATCTATTCATGGCATGGTTAAGAAAAACTTAATGCTTATGTTGACTCTATCCAGGGTCCAGACTTGGTGGGGACACAGCAGGAGCCAAGAAGCCATGTCCAGACTACCATCTCTAAATACCATTTTCTATTAAAGGGCCCAGGGTTCGTTGGACAAATGGCTATTAGCAAGCCTGAGCAGGAAACAAACTCAATGCAATGGCCTTGAACACCTCACAGAGATAGAAAGTAAGAGCACTATCTAAAACCCATGGGAACTAGGTCATCCTAGCCACTCAGGAGGCTGAGATCTGAGGATCTCAGTTCAAAGCCAGCTCAGGCAAGAAAGTCCATGAGACTCTTATCTCCAATTAACCACCAGAAAAATCAGAAGTGGCACTATGGCTTAAAGTGTTAGAGCACTAGGCATGAACAAGAGAGCCAGGCCCTGAGTTCAAGCCCCACAACTGACAAAAACAAAAAACAAAAAAAACCTTATGGGATTGTTTCTAAAGGACATAGACATTAGACAGGTAAAGTCCCCCCAAAATGGGAGACTTATGTCTGTACTCCTAGATACTCCTAGTTACTCAGGAGGCTGATATTTGAGGATCATTATTCCAAGCTAGCTCTGGCAGACAAACCTAAAAAACTCATCTTCAATTAGCCAACCAAATGCCAGAAGAAGAAGTATGTGGCTCAAGTGGTAGAACATTAGCCTCGAGGGGAAAACCTAAGTGGAAAAAATATGCCACAGAGTTTGAGCCCAGTCGGCTACAAAGCAGAAGGGAAAACCCAGTATTTATTTCAGCATCATGACATAGTATGGAGGAAAGATTTTCTTTCTACAGGAATTCTAGTTATGAAAAGACAGAAACTGGGGAAAAAAATCATCCTTTTATAGCCCTAATCAAGTAACAAGCCTGGACATTGATCAAACAATGTCTGGGGAAATCGTCAGGTGTGGGATTGATGGGAAAGCCTGCAGGGCAGGGGGCGGGGGGGAAGGGGAAGGGGGGGTGATGGAACCTAACATTGACATAAGGGGCCTGCTGAGAGGAGGCTGGAGGAAGCCAGGACTCTGCCTCCCATCTGTTCTGTATGTGAGTGGGTCTGTGTGTGTGTGTGTGTCTGTGTATGAGCATGCCAGTCTTGGGGCTTGAACTCAGGGCCTGGGTACTGTCCCTGAGATTCTTTCTCTCAAGGCTAGCCCTCTACCACTTGAGCCACAGCATCACTTCCAGCTTTTTCTGAGTAGTTTTATTAGAGATTAGAGCTTCATGGATTTTTTCTGCTGGGAGCTGGCTTTGAACCACGATCCTCAGATCTCAGCCTCCTGAGTAGCTAGGTTTACAGATACAACTCTGTAATTACAGGCGTGAGTCACCAGCACCCAATTTCCCGACTACTCTTGCCACAAAAATAACTAAAATAAATAAGTAAATAAAGGTAGAGGGGGGTTAAGGGCAAAAAGGAGGATGAGGGCTTTGATCTCTTCTGCCTCTGTCTCACCTGTCTTCCCCGCTTCCTTCTGGTATCTCTGCTTAAGGCAGTCCATGAGCAGCCCATTCCAGGGGGCACACAGCACGCCGAAGAACTGAGTGATGGCGAAGGCATTGGTGTAGGCGCTGACTGACAAGAGCAGAGCAGGGCAGAGTTGAAGAAATCTCCAGGCCTGTTTGACAGGACCGATCGCTCCTCCCCTGCCCTGGTCCTGCCTGGCCTTTTCCCCAGCTGGCATCTACAGATATGCTGCCTCCTGCGCCCACCACTTACCTTGGTCCCTGTCCCCACCAGCCAAGTTGGTCAGCAAAGAGTTGAGAGTGCCAATGAAGAGATAGTGCCACAGCTGTATAAGAGACAGCCACACCAAGTGCCAGGCGAAGCGCCGAGAGAGAACGCAGCTGCGAAACGAGTGGACTTCCGGCTGCTGCTCTGGTCCTGGGCTCTCTGATGGGCAAGGAGGAACTAAGCATGAATTCTAAGGAAAACTGAAGGGCAAGAAGCACCAGAGTGGCCCTGCAGAGGACAGTGTTAGGTTCAAGTTCACCTTCTAGCCTTGTCTCCAGAATGAGCTGCCTATAGCAACTGCCCGTTCTCTGGCTTTATCATCCCGGCCCCTCTGCCTGGAATGACCTTCCTCTGACCTTCAGCCTGTGGAGGTCTCTCCTGTCCCTCAGCGACGGATGACCCCTGCTCAGTGACCTCTCTTGAAATAATCCATCCCTGAGCTTTCTAGCTCTCCATGGTGAAAAGGAAGAAAAAGAAAGGAGAAAGGGAGGATGTAAGGATTTGTGATCGACTGCTTCCTCTCCTTTTCTTGTGTTTTTTTTCTTTCTTTTTATTTATTTACTTTTGTCCCTTAGCCTTTTTTTTGCACTCAATGCTGGCATTCTACCACTTGAGCCACAACTCCACTTCCAGCCTTTTTGCTTTTCTACCTTGGTGGGTTTCAGACTGTGATCCTCAGATCTCAGCCTCCTGCATAGCCAGGATTACAGGTAGGGGCCACCAGCACCCACTATCCTCCCTTCCTTTTTGGTCTCAGACTCCCACACATTTCTTTCCCTTGAAAATTCTTCACTGCTCTATTCTCCATGTCCAGATGGGACTATCAATGAAAGGTTCTGTTCCTCATTCCATTGACCACTTACCTCACTCTCCCTCAACAGGTGACTAGGTCCTTAAAGGAGAATATCCAAATGTTTCTTGGATCTACACTGCCTGGAGTCCGGTGAGTTCAAGACTTCCTCTTGGTTTTGTGAGTTTCCTAACATACTCTTATTTTTCTTGACCAAAAAAATAATAAATCTTCACTAGAGGCATGGTTCAAACACCTAGCTCAACACATTCAAACCCCAGTACTGTCTAATGATGATGATGATGATGATGATGATGATGATGATAATTAATAATAATAATAATAGCTGGGTGCCAGTGACTCACACCTCTAATCCTAGCTACTCAGGAGGCTGAGATCTGAGAATCATGGTTCAAGGCCAGCCTGGGCAGGAAAGTTCATGAGACTCTTATCTCCAATAAATTACCAAAAATAGCCAGAGTGGCTCAAGTGGTAGAATGTCAGCCTTGAGCACAAGAAGCTCAGGAATAGTGCCCAGGCAAGCCCCAGGACCAGTCCAAATTTAAATAAACTAATACTAATTTTGTATGTGTGCCAGTGCCGAGGCTTGAACTCAGGGCCTTGTGTTCTCACTTGGCTTTTTCGCTCAAGGCTGGAACTCTCCTACTTAAGCCACAGCTCCACTTCCAACATTTTGCTGGTTAACTGGTGACAATATTCTCATGGAGTTGTCTGTCCAGGCTGGCTTTGAACTTTGATCCTCAGATCTCAGCCTCCAGAGCAGCTAGAATTATAGGTATGAGCCACCCGCGCATGGCCTCTAGATGACAATGTTTTCTTGTGTATATTTAAGGTACATGGCATGATGTCATAGGACACATATAGATAGTGAAACCGTTACCATAGTGAAGCAAATTAGCATATCCATCACCTCACATGGTTACGCTTTCTTGTGTGCCAAGGAACAGCTAAAAATCTGCTCATTTAGCAAAAATCCCAAATACAATTTTATTAATTACGGCCCTCCTGTTGAGAATTAAATCTCTAGTCCTGTTCATCCCTCACATCTGCGACTTTCCATCATTTTTACCTGTGTCTTCCCATTTCTCCTTTCTCCACCTCCTGTGTTTATTTCAATGGTAGACAGCAGGAGTTGGTGATATTTGTAACCAAACACCCAAACAGATAGAGAAGAGAAAGGAGGCAGAGGTAGAGATACAAGTGGTAGACTCACCAGACATGGGGACAAGGCACCCAGCCTTGGCGGGCTGCAGTCACAGGAGAGGGCAGGGCAGAGTGGGGTGGGAGGGGGAAGGATGCTCCCTGACTCTCAGGGGGTTCAAGAAAGAGAAGAAAAAGAGGGGGGAAGCAACAGAAAAGAGAGGAAAGTCCTGCCCTCTCCAGACTCCCCCTAAAGCAATAGGGACCTTTTTCGGCCTGGTCTGAATGATTCAGAGCTACTTGGAGACATCCTGGGGTGAGCACCAAGGAGAAGCCAGGCCAGTGACAGGAGAAGCCCACTTCTGAGTGGGAACAGCCCTCACCTTCCTTGGCTGAGAGCAAGTCCTTGGGCTGTAGCTCTCTGTTCTCATGCTCCACTGTTTTCTCTTCCTCGGTTGTTCTCCCTTCTTTCTCTTTGGTGCCAAATCTGGAGCACAGGCTGTGGAAACAGAAGCCACAGTAGCCGGCTGGGCCAAGGACCGTGAGCACAAGAGTCAAGCCAGAGGCCATTACACATTTCCCTGTATGTGCCATTGCTATTTAACAACACCAGAAGCTGGGTGCTGATGGCTCATGCCTCAGATGCTAACTACTCAGGAGGCTGAGATCTGAAGCTCTCAGTTCAAAGCCAGCACAGGCAGGGATGTCCATGAGACTCTTATTGCCAATTAACGACTAACAGCCTAGAAATAGAGGTGTGGCTCAAGAGGTAGAGTGCTAGCCTCCAGCAAAAACAGCTCAGGGACAGCAACTAGACCCTGACCAGCATAAAATAATGATGATGAGGAGGAGGATAATAACTGTTCCTCCAGACCAATTATATTACACTGTCTAGGAGTAAGAGCCAGGCATCCATTTTCACTGGTTTGTTTTTAATGATCTCCAAGTAAGTCAGGTACTTGATGACTCATGCCTGTAATTCCGGTAGTTAAGCTAAGGCAGAAAGATTAAGAATTCAAGGCCAGCCAGGTGCCAGTGGCTCACACCTGTCATCCTAGCTACTCGGGAGGTTGAGATCTGAGGATCATGGTTCAAAGCCAGCCTAGGCAGGAAAGTCCATGAGACTCTTTATCTCTATTAACCACCCAAAAAGCTGCTGGAAGAAGAGCTGTGGCTCTCTTCTTGAGTAAAAAAAGCTAAGCACAAAAAAAAAAGCTAAGCAAGAAAGATAAACCCTAGGTTCAAGCCCCAGATAAAATATAATAAAATGATCTCCAAATGTCTCTGTGATTCGAAAATGCAGCCAAGTTTATAATCGTAAGAAGAAGAGGATAGACCTTGGTTCAAACCCCAGTTCTTTTGTTGTTGGTTTTTTCCCTAGCTGCAGACCCAAGGGTCACACTTGAGCCTCAGTTTTCTCCATTAGAAAAAATGAAGGCCAGAAGATTGATCTGAGAGGATTACTGTAAGAATGAAATCGAACAGCACCATGGGGTCTGACAAATAGCAGAGCAGCAAATGAATGCCCTTTCTCTTCTCCTGCAACAGTGATGATTTCTCACCTCCTGTATTTGGGCCGAACAAAAGTGATGACAACTGGTGGATCATGCCTGTAACCCTAGCTACTCAGGAGGCTGAGATGTGAGGATTTCCATTCAAAGCCAGCCCAAGCAGGAAAGTCTCTGAGACTCTGATCTCCACTAAACTACCACAAAAAGCTAGAAGTAAAGCTGTTGCTTAAGAGGTAGAGTGCCTTGAGCAAAAGAAGCTCAAAGTTAGAGCTCAAGTCCTGAGTTCAAGCCCCAGGACTGGCACAATAAACAAAAGCTGTGACAAATGCAAATCTCAGAGAGAGTGCACACCTTAATCGCCAGGTGAGTAAGTTCAAGCTATCCTGCTATAGATGAGCATGTGACTCAGGTAGACAAGCTTAGTGTTAGGCTATTGAATTTGAGGGGTAATTTGTTATGCAGCAAGAGCTAACTGATACTCACCTCTTCCCATCCTCTTTCCCTACAACAGATTTGCCCTTCTCTGCTTCCTGCCCCAAGTCAGATGGGGCTAGTTGGCCAATGGCCCTTACCCATAGCTGTAGTTGGGGGGCACTGGGTAAGGGATGTGCCCCCGGGGCATCAGCAAGAAGGTACGCCCAAGATGCCAGACACTGCAGACAGAGAGGAAGAGGAAGGAGGCTCTGAGGCTGATACCTTGTTCATAAAGAAGCTGGAAAAAAAAGGAGAGAAAAGCCAAGTTATAACAGCATCAGCAGCAATAGCTTCAAAGAAGGAAGCAAGCCAGTGTCCATCAGTAGGTCAATAGATATACAAATGGTGGTGTATATCCATTCGGTGGTTTATTATTCAGCCTTAAAAAAAGGAAGAAAACTCCAAAGACATGCCAGTACAGATGAACCATGACAAACATCATACCAAGTGAAACAAGCTCATCCCAAATGGACACATCTTGTAACTGATATTCCTAGAGTGGCCCCATTCATTCCTTCACCAAGAGTAGGATGGCAGTAGCCAGCAGTCAGGACTGGGGAGAAGGAGCAATTTCATGTGTCATTGGTACAGAGCTCCAGTCTGGTGAAGAGAAGAGAGTTTGGGAGGTGGGTGGCGGTAATGATTGCAGGGCAGTGTCGATGTGCATCCTGTGTATGTACACCTAAAATGGTTAAGGTGGTGAGGGTTGTGCTGTATGTGTTGTTACCACAGGTACAGTGCATGAAAGAGCAGGCTCAGGAGCCAGGTTTCCAAGGAGTCTCAACAGAGTCTGGAAGCTGATTAAGGATAGCTGATCTCTACAAATCCTTACCTCAGGGCCCAGCCGGGGGGGGGGGGGGGGGGGGGGGGGGGGGGGGGTCACTTTGTCCCCCCCACTTTTTTTTTTTTTTTTTTTTTGCTGGTCCTAGGGCTTGAACTCAGGGCCTGGACTCTGACCCTGAGCCTCTCTGTACTCAAGGCTAGCTCTACCACTTGGGCCACAGCTCCACTTCTCACTTTTTCTGTGTAGTTTATTGGAGATGAGAGTCTTACAAACTTTCCTGTCCCAGCTAGTGTTGAACCATGAACCTCAGATCTCAGCTGTCTGAGTAGACAGGATTACAGGCACGAGCCACCGGACCTGGCTTGTAGAACCTCCTTGTGTGGCCCTCAGAGGTCTTCTTTTGTCCCAGTAGTAGAAAATTCCTTTCTTTCTCTCTGTCTCTTTCTCTCTTTTTCTTCTCCCTTTCCCTCCTCCCTCCCTCTCTCCTTCTCCCCTGTCCCTTCCCTCTCTCCTCTTTTCCTTTCTTTGCCAGGGAATTGAACTCAAAGCTTCACACTCTCCCTTTGCTCAAGGCTGGCACTCTACCACTTAAGTCGTACATAACCTGCCCTGCTTTTTAGCTAGTTAGAGATAAGAGTCTCATTAATTTCTGGGCCCAGGTTGGATTTGAACCATGATCCTTAGATCTCAGCCTCCTCAGTAGCTGCGATTACAGATATCTCTTTGTTTGATTGTATTATGTTGATGCCAGTCCCATGATTTGAACTTAGGACCTGAGCACTGTTCTTGAGCTACTTTGCTCAAAGCTAGCCCTCTACTACTTCAGCCACAGCTCTACTTCTGGCTTTTCTCATAGTTGATTGGAGATAAGAGTCTCATAGACTTTCTTGCCTGGGCTGGCTTCAAACAAGGATCCTCAGATCTGAGACTCCTGATTAGCCAGGATTACAAGTGTGAGCCACTGGCACCTGGCCTTTTTTGTTGTTTTTGGGGGGATTTTTGGAGATAGAATCTTGCTGTGTAGTCCAGTCTGACATGAAACTCAAGATCCTTCTACCTCACCTTCCTGAGAGCTAGAATGAAGGGCCTGCAGCGCCACATCCTGCTTTAAACAAATTCTCTGTCTCTCTGTCTCCTTACCAAACACGTCCTTGGGAAGCTATTGAGTCATTTTTTCCGAGCATTCTTTTAGGTGACTGACACAGCATCAAAGGGAAGCTGAAAGTACCGCAACTGCTCATGTGGAAACCACTGGTCTAGCCCCATTGCTTCCTCTTACAGAGAGGTCTGGGGAAGCCCATGGTCAGAGGAAACAGCCCAGTCAGATTAGGCTAAGAATTCCAGTCCCTGCTCCAGCCCTTCCCTTCCATCTTCAGAGAGGAGAAAATGGGAGGTGCAGCCAGGAGGAGGGGGAACCTGGAAAGTGGCTCTTGTCCAAAAGCCATGGTACCCCAGGATCTCAGTCTCTGAGTGAGCCTCCAATCTTCGGTGCTCATGGGACTCAATGAGGCTCATGTGTGGACAGCAACAGAAGAGATCTCTTCTACCCATGGTGCCAGCAGCCACCATGTCCAAAGGGAAGTCCCAGATGGAGACCCACAGTCGTTCAATCCTTTCACTCAGCCATCTTTAGTGCACCAGGTTTTGTCCTCTGGCTTCTTGCTTTGTGATCGAAGTGTGGCTGCCAGAGCTCCAGCTACTGTACCCTTGCACTTACTCATTCAAAGAGGAAGGGCAAGAAGAGAGACAAATGACAGAAACAGCTCACGATGTTGGGGTGTCGCATAGGAATAAGGGCATCAACTCGAAAGGAACCCAGCAAGGCAACATTGACTTTCGCAGAAGGGGGCCCAATCAGCCAAAAATCTGGCAAGCAAGCACACAGAGCAGATAGGCTGCTCCTTTTTCATCCCTAACCCGGTAGGCCCCACCCCTCTGCTCCCATTGGCTGAGCTCAGGTTCAGAATCAGCAAAAGGATGTGGCTCAAAGAACAGGCTGCAACTACCATTCAAGGAGCTCCTAACAGGATGCCTTTATTAAAGGGCTCAAGAAAAAGGATGTATGTAATTAAAATGTAGTTAACAAGAGCCAAGCCACATGACCAAAGCAGGAACCCTTCAGAAAAACCATTCTCTCAAGGTTAACAGCAAGGGAACAAACTACTTCGATGGAAAAGACACTTTCTCTCACACAAAGACTAGCAGCTGTCTTCTTACTCAGCTCTCGTCTTCCTTCTGGAAGGAAATGTTCTCTGAAGTTCTCCATGACACCCCTTCAATGTCATTAACAAGAGTTGGAGCTTTAGTTCCCCTCTCTTGCATACTGAATTTGGGAATAACTTATACTACATGGCCAGACCCTATGTAAACCAGCAGAATGGCTACCGATGTCCCGCATAACATCCCTGGCGAAGGTCCATCCTCACCTTCAACATCAGCACTGGGAGAGTTGGATGAACACCTGCTTCTGCTGCTCCTGTGCCCACTAGCCCCTCTCACCACCAAATACCCCATTCCAAAGGCCTCCAGCCTCTGCCCATCCGAGGCCCAAACATATTATGGCCACAACTCCCTTACTGCATTAAAAAAAGAGAGAGAGAGAGAAAGAAATCTAGGTTAAGCCAGGTACTGGTGGCTCACACCTGTGGTACTAACGATTCCGGAGACTGAGATCTGCAGACCTCAGTTTGAAGCCAGTCTGAGCAAATAAATCTATAAGACTCTTATTTCCAATGAGCCAGTTTAAAAAAAAAAAAAAACAAGAGTGAAGCCATAGCTCTAGTGGTAACGTGCCAGCCTTGATGGGAAAAGCTAAGCAAGAGCATCCTAGGGCCCTGAGTTCAAGACCCACTTCAGGTACAAAGGAAACAAAATAAATAGCAGCAGCCTAGGTTACGTGTAAAGAAGGGAGGAGGTTAGTGGTCTCAAGCTCAGTCTCTAGAGGCAGCCAGGCCTGGATTCAGGTTCAAGTACCATGTTTATTACAAAGTTCTCTTTAACAACTGGCTTCGACAAAGTGGAGACACGTGAGTCACCCGAGGAATGGTGCCCCCTTCAGGGAGTGCACAGAAATCATGCAAAGGCCAGGCCTGTCACAGATAGTGTGCAAGTACTCCGTAAGATATTGGCTATGGCTATTCTTACCTTAATGATAAGGAAGACAGCTGATGACGAGTCAAATGCCCCATTGTAGAGAGTGATGATGGTGGACCGGTGTTTGCCAAATAGGTTCCCAATCTGAAAAAGACAGGATCATCGCTTATTTATTCACAAAACAAGTATTTCCTGGGCATCCAGTACATGCCAGGCACTCATAATACCCAAACTCTCATTCTTCCAGGTTTCCCACCCTGCCTTGGGCGCACCTCATCAGTACCCTTTTACCCCCCCCCCTCTGTTGTCCCGACCTCCCCCAAATGCCTGGGGCGGGGGCAGGTTCACACCTGCAGGTTGGTGATGAGAAACAGGATCCCCCCAATGGTGAGCATGGGCATGGCCAGGAAGAGCAGCGTGGCAGAGTCTGGAACCATCCAAGTCGTCAGTGGTAGCTAGGTGCCAGTGGCTCACACCTGTAATCCTAGCTACTCAGGAGGCTGAGGTCTGAGGATTGCTGTTCAAAGCCCATCTTGGGCAAGAAAGTCGGGAGGGGGGCTGGTGGGAGCATTTCTTAACTCCAATTAGCCACCAAAAAGCCAGAAGTGAAGATGTGGCTCAAGGGATAGAGTGCCAACCTTGAGTGAAAAGCTAAAGGAAAACTCAGACACTCCAGTCAGAGTCCTAATTCTAACTATGCCTGCTAGCACCTTCCAAGGGTCAGGATATTAGTCAAGGCCAAGTTCTCCTAAGCCACCCTCTTGCCCAACAAAGAGAGTTGTGGGTCTGTGGCAAACTGCAAGCAACCCTTCCTATTTATTCATCCTGGACACTGGTGAAGATGACCTTGAACTCAGTCCCTGAGGCCAGCCGCTCATTCACTGTCTGACCCTCGCTTTCTGAGACTACGCCTGTCACCTCATTTCTAAATGAAAACAATGGTCACCATTTCTTCTGCCTCTGTGAGAACCAAGTGAGAAAAAATGGTCATTTTCCTCCCTTCAGGAAGCTTTGGGCCAGGCATTATACTTGCCCTTGAAAATGTGAAATGAGTCAACACACCCTCATTGGCTCAGGAAAAGACCGACAGAGTTGCTGGTTAGTTACAATAGGTTCATAAGTATTAGATTATTCTCAAACCAGACTTCTGCCCTCCCTGCATGTTGGTCATAAGCCATGCCTGTCCTGGGCCTTACTTGTTACAGTGTTTGTCTTTGGGGAATAGGAATGCATCTCAGGAGCAATAGAGTGCATGCTTAGCATGTGTGATGCTGTGAGTTTGATCAAAAGAAAAAGATTCTAATTTGATTTGCTTTCATCCAAAAGAAACCTGGTTATGTTTTTTTTTTGTTTGTTTTAAAAAAAGGACATTTTGTACCACTACTTTGAATAGAAACATTTGCACCGGCTGTCATGGATAGAAAGTAAATTTTAAAATGAAACACAATGAAATCCCTTTCATCATGTAATAACATTGCATTCAAAATTATTGAATTGAGGCTGGAGACAAAGGCCCCAGCACATGCTCAGAGACTGAGAGCTGTGGTCAATCCCTGTGGGCCACACCAGCTCCCCCAAATTGACTTCTGTCAAATCAGAAGGACCAAAAGAGCAATTTAAAAAAAAAAAAAAAAAAAGGGGGGGGGGGGGGAATGGTTTTAGCCATTACCAATGGCTCTCACCTGTAATCCTCGCTGCTTAGGAAGCTGAAATCTGAGGATCATGGTTGAAGCCAGCTGGCACAGAAGAGAAGCCATGAGACTCTTATCTCCAATTAACCATTAAAAAGACAGAAGCAGAGCTGTGGCTCAAAAAGAGTGAGCACCAGCCTTCAGAAAAAAAAAAAGCTCAGGGACAGCACCCAGGCCTTGAGTTCAAACCCTAGGACTAGCACAACAACAACAATAACAAAAACCAGGAAGAGGGAAGTAATTATTGTTTCAGAGGGGTTTTTTGTTTGTTGGTTGCTTGTTTGTTTTTTTTTCGATCGTGGGTCTTGAACCCTGAGCCTGGGTACTGTCCCTGAGCTCTTCAACACAAGGCAAGCACTCTACCGCTTGAGCCACAGCACCACTTCCAGTTTTCTGATGGTTAATTGGAGATAAGAGTCTCACGCACACACACTTTCCTGCCCGGGCTGGCTTTGAACTGCAATCCTTAGATCTCAGACTCCTGAGTTACTAGGATTACAGGCATGAGTCACTAAGGCCCAGCTGGAAGTAATTGTTGTTATATAATTGTTGTGTATGTTCAAACTGCGGCCTGAACTCAGGAACTGGGCACTGCCCCTTGGCCTTTTCATTCAAGGTTGCTGCTCTACCACTTGAACCACAGCTCAACTTCTGGGTTTGGGGGTTAATTGGAAAAGAATCTGGCAGATTTGTCTGCCAGGGCTGGTTTCCAACTATGATCCTCAAATCTCAGTCTCCTGATTAAACTAGGATTACAGGCAAATTCTGGAGCAAGAGGAGTCCTTGTAAAGAGCTCATTTTACAGGCTTGTCCTACGTAACATTCACTTCCTGTCCGCATCTAATGGGCATCTCTCCTAGTGAGCTAATGTTTGGTGGAGATAGTGTTTCCAACAAAGTTCCACAACATTTTCCAAACCAAAAAGTCAGATTTTAGTGCTCAAAACTCACAAACGTGAACCTCTAGAGATATGTTTAAACCAAAGCATTCAGCCTCCAGGTTTACCAGACATTAAGTAGAGACATAAAGTAGATGACATCACCTGGCTTCTGCATATCAAAGTTAGAATTTTCCTTTTGTTTCCTAATACCCCCCTCCAAAAAAAAAAAGTTGAGCCACAAGATCTGACGCATCTCTCAGCCACCTTTACCAAGAGACTTGCTAGCCTTGTTTCAGATTGAGTGTGTGTGTGTGTGTGTGTGTGTGTGTGTGTGTGTGTGTGCGCGTGCGTGTGTGTTTGCTGGGATCGGGACTTGAACTCAGGGCCTCAAGCTTTCCCTTCACTTTTTGACTTATGGCTAGAGCTCTACCACTTAGCTATACCTCTATTTCTGGCTTTTTGCCGGTTAATTGGAAATAAGAGTCTCTAGGACTTTTCTGCCTAGTCTGGCTTTGAACAGCGATGCTCAGATCAGCCTTCTGAGTAGCTAAGATTACACAAGTGAACCACCAGTGCCCCACTCAAAAGAAAACAAACATGCCTTTTGTACGATATGGCTGCCTACTTTTATCCTGCTAAGTAAGGATATTTTCAAAATTATCATTCCCATTATCTTTTCTTTATAAAGAGAGAAGGAGTTTTGTTACACACATAAGTAAGATGAAAGCAATCTCTTCAATACATTCTCAGAATTCCTCTCCATTGTCTTTGCTTTTGATTTTCCCAGTGGACTAAACTTTTCACAGATCAGCAAGAATTCAGTTCTCTCTCAAGGATTCTTTCCAGCTGTGGATCTCTGAGTAACCTTGAGCATCTTGAATTCTGCTCTTTGCCTCCCATAGCTGCTCCATGCATCCTACCCTGAACTTGGGTCCCTCCCACCCCCCTACCAGCACTCACCTGCCGAGATGAAGCCTATGATGAGTGTGGCACTGGTGTAGAAAAATCTGAAATGCAGAACCGCAGCATACTACTTAAAAGGAGAAAGCTAGGAGGCAAAAAGAATTTTCTGCTTGGTCTGGCCCTGGTGGCTCACACCTGTAATTCTAGATACTCAGAAGGCTGAGATCTGAGAATCATGGTTCAAAGCCAGAGTGGGCAGGAAAGTCTATGAGACTTTCCACCAAAAAATCTGGAGGTGGAGCTGTGGCTCAAGTGGTAGAATGTTGGCCTTGAGCAAAAAAGCTCAGGGACAGAGAAGGGGAGGAGAGGAGAATGGAGGGCAGGAGAAGGGCGAGGAAAGGAGAAGGGAAGGGGGAGAGAGGAGAAGAGGAGGAGGAAGTGGAGGAATAGTAGGAAAAGATGCTATTTACCTAACATTTAGGCTTAGACCTTGAGTACGTCCTCAGCCTAGAATTCAGCGAGGACTGATGCCTCTTGAGAGGCTCAGCAGATGCTGAGAAGCCCTGATGGGTCCAACATGTGGTCCTGAGCTTACCCAGGTACGATTGGCTTTGTTTTCTTTTTGTGCCAGTATAGGAGCTTGAATTCAGGGCCTCGGTGTCATCTCTTGGGTTTTTCACTCAAGGTTAGCATTCTACTACTTGAGCCACACCTTCGCTTCTGGCTTTCTTGTGGCTTAATTGAAGGTCAGAGTCTATTGGTGTTTTCTACCCTGACCGTCAGATCTCAGCCCCTTGAATAGCTAAGATTACAGAATTGAACCACCGGCTCCTGGCCATGATAGTGCAGTTTGCTCAAGTCAAGATCCAAGGCTAAACCACAAAGTCTTGGATAATGAGTTCAGCTGAGGCCGTAATAGGCTAAAAAATCCTACCAGGATGAGAGTGGACATAGTCCCACTTAGATGTCTCAAGAGGCCTTTTGGAAAAAGTTCATGTGTGGCCTACAAAGCAAACACACACACACACACACACACACACACACACACACACAAACACACTGATCTCTAATTCCTCCTCACTATGTGACTTTGAGCTAGGTGTGCCTTCTTTGGATTTCCTTCAACTTTTCTGAAAAGGGAAAGGATTGACTGATCTAGACTCCAAGCTCAAAGCTCCATTCAGCAAAGGGCACCATGATTTCAGAACCCCAACCCCAACCAGTGAACAGCCCTGTAAGCCATCGTGAATAAAAACAATGTGCTAGGGGCTGGGAAGGTAGCTCAGTGGTAGAGCGCTTGCCTTGCATGCCTGAGACCCTGGGTTCGATTCCTCAGCACGACATAAGCAAAAAGAAAAAAGCTGGAAGTGGCGCTGTGGCTCAAGTGGCAGAGCACTAGCCCTGAGATGAAGAGCTGAAGGACAGCGCCCAGGCCCAGAGTTCAGGCCCCACTACTGGACCCCAAAAAAAAAAAAAAAAGCAATGTCCTAAAGGTAGAGAAGGAATTGGGTGAAGGAGGTGGGTGGGGTGGGAAAGAGGAGACTGGAACCCAAAGACCAAGAAAGATTGAGCTACAGTTATTATTCACCCACAGGCTTAAAGGATACAAGAGAGACTTGCTTTCTTGTCTGGCTACTTCCTACTCTAGGCCCAAGCCTCCATCTTTCTGACCCCTGCTCTCACACATGGCTCCTTGGGGTTGCTGTGGACCTGGCCACGTGCACCAAGGTCAAAGCTGTACACCATAGAAGCACAAGGAGATATCTTTTACCCTCTTTGACCCACCTGCCAACTGCCAGGGAAACCCCCACAGTCTCCCTGAGAGTCTCAGGGGAAGTGAAATCACCCTGGGGGAATACCAGTCACAGCCTGGTTAGCTAGCCCTGAGAGAGCAATGGGGCTAAGGAAGATGGCGACCAAGTCCAGGAAGAAAGTAAGGAAAGAGAAGCAAGGATTTGGAAGGAGGGCGGGGCTAGCAGCAGCACTATCCAATCATCCAGTGGCTGGGGCAGGGCCTGACAGGCCTAAAGGCTTCCTGTCACTCACTGCTGCCCAGGCTGGGCCTCTGGACTTACATAGCAATCAGGCGGGCCACAGTAGTCTTGAACCGGTCAAAGATGTAGCCAGTGGGGAACGTCATGAAGTTGTTCATGAATGATGCCAGGGTGAAAATGAGCGAGAACCTCTCATCCTGGCCTTTGCAGTCTAGAGGAGAAAAAGCTCTCAGAAGCCCAGGGTACAGGAGCTAAAGTCCCATCTACCCAGCTTTCCTGCTAGGCGAGCATCCAGCCTGGGCTCCCCTCCATCTTGGACAGCTGGACTCCTGAAAAGCTGTCCCTAACTGGAATTAAAATGTGGCTGCCCCTAATAACCCCTCAGGAGCTGCTACCTCCCTCCTCTTACTCAAAGGGGCAGGGGAAGACAATTCCTATACCCAGAGAAAGGCTGGCAAGTAGGCACAAAATGGAGTTCTCCCCCCCCCCACACCTACCAGAGAGCAGACTTAGCTTCCTCAGAAAAACCACCCTGGATGCCCTTACCAGCCTTTTCGGTGGCATTGCTCATGAGCTCAACATTTGGTTCACACAGCTCTTCAAAGTAATGCTCCGTTTTGAAGACAAATACCAACGAGGCCCAGCCAAACAGGACACCAGCAAAGCCAAGGCATTCCAGAAGCCCTGTCAGCAGCGTGGCCATGTGAAGGGACCGACCCTGGCCCGCCATGGCCAGGTGGTAAACAGATCCTCCTCAAACCGTGCTTTGTCCTCTCAGACAAAGTGCAGGCTCTTTACACGCTTGGAAAATTCCTTTGGCAAGCCCTCCTTGTCTTCAAGGAGCGTTCTGGTTCCAACTCTTCCTGGCTTCAGCGAAGGGAAAACCACCATCAGTGAGTGAGTCTCTGGATTCTGAAAAATAAAGCAGAAGCTAGCGGGATGCTGGTGGCTCACATCTGTAATTCTAACTACTGAGGAGGCTGAGATCTGGAAGATCAAGATTCAAAATCAGCCTGGGCCCACAAATCAGAGACTCTTATCTCCAATGAAGCAGCAAAAGAAAAGGCCAGAAGTGGAGCTGTGGCTCAAGTGGTAGAGCGCCAGCCTGGGGCGGGGGGAGGGAAGCTAAAGGATAGCACACAGATGAAGAACCACTGGGGCGGGGGAGAAGGGGAGGAATGACAGGTGCAAAAAGAATTCCTTTTGTGGAGTGAATAGGAAGAATGGCTATGATCTTTGACAGCCAAGTTTGGGAAATCAACCCTTGCATACCTGGCCTGTAATTCAGCCATAGACCAATTACCTGGCATGTGCATGATCCTGGATTCCAACTCCAGCACCAGACACACAGTCACAGACACACACACACACACACATCACACACTCACACTTTCATCCTCCAACTCACAATGTGGATACCAGGAGATGAGGGAGATCTTAGATAAGCCAAGGAAGGCCAAACCCCAAAGCCCCCCCCCCCCAACAGCAGATGGAGAAGGAGAAAGCACTTCTCCAGCTCCTCTATAAACTAGGGGCAACAGGACCGGACACACAACTCGCCAGCAAAGTTTGTCATCTTCTATTGAGGGACCCGGAAACAATCTTTGCGGAGGATTTGGCCCACGCACCCCACCCCGCTCCCCGCTCCCGCGCCCAGGGTCACAGGGCTGGTTAGTCACCACGCAGGCCACCCCAGTGCCAAAACACTTCAACTCCCAAGGGTCCCAAGATCCTAGCCTGGGGCTCCCAGGCCCCTCTCCCTGCGGTCCCCCACCAGCCCCTAACTTCCCCCAGGTCCACGGGCTGCTCCCCGCCCCACAGGCCCTCCCCGCCGCCGAGACACTGCCAGGGTTCCCGCCTCACACTTAACCCACTTCCTGCCCGGCCCCAGCGCGCCCGGCCCGGCCTGCCCTGCCCGGCCTGACCCAGCCCGACCATGCCCGGCCCCGGCAGCGGGCAGCGGCGTCCTACCCGCCCGCGATCCCGGCGACTTGGCCGGCTGTTCCTCCCAATCCTCTACTGGCCTCCGCCCATCCGCCAGCGTGGGGCCCGGAAGAGGCTGGGACTGGCCTCTGTCTCCATCACTTACTTCTGGACCTCACCCGCCCTTTTCTCCCTTTTCCTCTCTCCACAACTGTAATTCGCGCTCTTTCTCTCTCTCCCCTCCCTCCCTCCCCTACCCTCTTCCTCTTCCTCCCTCCCCCCTCCCCCCTCTTCCTCTTTGCCTCTCTCCCTCTCTCCCCCTCCCTTTCTTCCTCCCTCTTCTCTGCAGCCTCCTCCTCCTCCTTTGACTCTTTTTCCTTGCTCCCCCCCCCCCGTATCTCTCCCCCCCTTACTTCTCTTTCCTCTCTCTCCCTCCTCCTTTGCCTCTCCCTTTTCCTAACCAAACTGAGCAGTTTTTATTATTTTGTTGGAGCTGGAAGTTGAGATGGAGTCTCTCACTCCGGAACCCAGGCTGGCTTCCTTCCAACTTTCAATCCTCCACCGCCTTCAGCCTCCCAATTAGAGTCAGACAGGTGCCACATTGCCCAGCCCCAAGTTAGTCTTAATACTGTCCCAAGCACAAATCCACCCACAGAGATTCAACATCTCCCAGAGAGGAGCCAGGCTGTTCACAGGTGAGCCACTGGCACTTTTTACCTTGGTCTCTTGGGTGGGCACCATATTGTTACCCTTTTGCCTACAACTAGGTCCTCCCCCCCCTTCCCCTAGAATCCACACCCCGATCTGCCAGAAAATTCTCACCACAGAATGGGGACCCAGGGGCTTTCTGAAAATCATATCCTGGAAGGAGGGGGGGCCTCCGCCTCTTCACCCCCAAGGACCCCTTTTGATTATTCTCGGCTTCACCCCCAGCCCACGTTCTGAAAGAGCCATCCTGCCAGACTGCGTTGATTAACTATTCATTCATTGCCCCATTTTTTATTAATCAAAGACACACATAATTGCCCGTCGGAGCTTGTGATCCGTGGGAGATAGCCGGGCCTACCCAGCTGCACTGCTATCTCTCCAGCCCAGAGCTACCACCCCGATGGACTGCTATCATGTTAGCCCAGACCAAATGAGCTGTCATCTTACTTCTTATCCTGGCACTTCCCCGGCCAAAAGAACTTGCATATTACATACATTCTAAAGACAGACATTATTTCCCTCCACCCCAGCCCACCATCTCCCCACCCCCCAAGAACTCTATTCTATGTCCAGCCCTCTTATTTTCTGTTTTATTTTTTTGAGGGAGGGTGCAGTGCTGGGACTTGAACTCAGGGTCTAAGCAAAGCCTTAGGTTTTTTTGTTTTTTTGTTTTGTTTTGTTTTTTTTTGCTCAAGGCTAGAACTCTACCACTTGAACCACACCTCCACTTCCAGCTTTTTACTGATTCGTTGGAGCTAAGAGTCTCATGGACTTTTCCTGCCTGGGCTAGTTTTGCCTCCTGCATAATGAGTAGTGAGGCTTACAGATGTGAGTCCCAGCTGTTTTAACATGAAAAAGAAAGGTTAGAACACTGGAAGGCCAGCATCAGGAAATGGGTTCCAGGTCACTACCAAAATGCAAAGGAACAAGGAAGTCAATGGAGCCAGGCCTGTAATCCTGTTTGCTGTGATCTGAAGATCACAGTTCCAAGCCAGCCCAGGCAAGAAAGCCCATGAGACTCCATCTCCAATTAAACATCAAAAAAGCTAGAAATGGAGCTGTGGCTTGAGTATAAAAGGCCCAGGGACAATGCTCAGGCCTTGAGTTCAAGCCCCAGGACGGGCACCAAAAAACAAAAACATTACTCAGGTGACTTGCCTGAGTAGGAGGAAGGTGCTTCTGTCTTACACCCCAAGAACTAGCAAAGTCTGCTGCCTGAGGCAGGCTCTTTGGTTGCCCTATCCACCTGAAAGACCAGAGGAAAAAGCATGAGAAGGGTTTGGGGCGGTCAGTAGGGAGCAGAGACCACGGACCCACTGCAGAGGAGTGGACTTTCCAAGGTACAGTTTTATAGTAGAGCCTGGGAAGCAGCTTTGTAGGGTCACTGTCAAAGAACTTGCCCAGTATGGCAGTGTCTGCCCAACCCCCAAACCTGCACTTGATTACATAAAACTAGTCTTCTTCTTTTTTCTTTCCCCCCTCCCTTTTTTTTTTTTTTTTGTACTGGTACTGGGGCTTGAACTGAAGGCCTAGGCACTGTCCTTTTACTTTTTCTTTTATTCAGAACTGGTGCTCTACCACTTGAGTCACACCACTTTCAGCTTTTTACTGGTTAATTGGAAATAAGATTCTCACAGACTTTCCTGTCTGGGCTGTTTTCAAACTGTGATCTTCAAATCTCAGGTTTCTGAATACTTCGGATTAGAGGTGTGAGCCTGGCCAACAAATCTTTAAAAAAAAAAAAAAAGATGGGAGGGAGGGGGAGATTCTAAGTCTATAGCAACCAAAGACAAACAGGACTAAAGATGCAAGATTTTCTACTTCACTGCAAGTTACAAAGATACCGAAATTAATGCATGCCCTGGCTTTTGCACTGGCTTACATTTTGCTCTCCTGAGGACCTGGGGGGATAAGGAAGTGGAAATAGCAAGGGAAGAAGAGAAAAAGTCAAAGCTGAGATAGAATTTAGAATGCAAATCAGAAGGCACAGGCAGGCAGGACCAAATCATGAGCTATCTGAGCATCCAGGACTGGACTGCAAGGCTTAGGGAGAGGCCAACCGGGACTCTATCTTGTTCTCTCCCCCCCCCTTCCCTTCTCTCTGTCTCTGTCTCTGTTTCTCTCTGTCTCTGCCTCTGTCTGTCTGTCTCTCTCTCTCTCTCTCTTTCTCTTTTTCTCAGCTCTCACGATAAACATTTCATACCCTATCCATGTTGGCAGAAGATACCACCTCTCATAATAATGGTAGTACAACTGAAATGCTGGGACAGAATCTTAGAGTGTTGTGTAAATTGTCTCCATCTTGTCTGGTTCAACTTCCAGTGGCTAGCACAGGCCAATGCTATCCTGCTTTCTCTCCCGCCTCTCTCTGATGAGGATTTGCATATCAGTCAGGGAGAGGAATTATCCTAATAGGATCTGTAGCCACATCCATGTCTTCATTGCTTCTCACTTGGCCTCCCTGACTTTCATCCTGAATCTTTTTTTTTTTTTCTTTTATTGATTGCTTGGCGCCGAATCAAGTCCTGGGATTCAGAGAGAGGAAATTAGTACCTTCCCTTGAGCTCTCATTCACAAGTGGAGACAAAGAAACCCAAGATTTCTGGAGCGAGGAAATGTTCTTGAAGGAAGAGGCCAGCACTGAACCTTCAAAGGCATGGAACCTGGAAAGAGGAAGAACTTTCCAGAACCAGCAGAAGCAGAGACTGGCAAGGGGAGTAACAAGACTGAAAACCATGGCAGCTTCCTGAGGGACGGCATCTGGATTCCAGCCCATATCAATCACTCATGCTCTATTGATTCCATCTCTTACCATCTCTCCTACCCATCCTTGGCCATGACCATATTCAGACACCCATCCTTTCTCAGACAGGCATCACTTGCTTCCACACCAACACCAATCTGCTACCACAGTCTCTCTCCATGGTTCCTGATTGTACTGGGGCTCGACCTCAGGGACCTGGCACTCTTGCTTGGCTTTTTCCATTCAAGGCTGGTCCTCTACCACTTGAGCCACAGCTCCACTTCCAGGGATTTTTTTGCTGGTTAATTGGAGGTGAGAGTCTTATGGACTTTTCGGCTCAGGTTAATTGGAGGTGAGAGTCTTATGGACTTTTCGGCTCAGGCTGACTTCAAAGTACAGAGCTTAAATTTCAGCCCCTTGAGTAGGTAAGGTTACAACAGTCATGAGCCACCAATGCTCCCATTTAATGGTGTTTCTTAACTGCTCTAAATCTCTCCAGGACCAGAGAGCCAGTCCATCTACTGGTAAGGGCTGGCCCACCCTCTGGGATTATCATATTGCATGGACAGGGGCCTGGGCACTGTCCCTGAGCTTCTTTTGCTCAAGGTTAGTCCTCTACCCCTTGAGCCACAGCTCCACTTTCAGCTTTTTTTTGGGGGGGGGTCCAGTCGTGGGGCCTGAATTCTGGGCCTGGGCGCTGTCCCTCAGCTCTTCAGCTCAAGGCTAGCGCTCTACCACTTGAGCTACAGCGCCACTTCCGGCTTTTTCTATTTGCTTATGTGGTGCTGAGGAATCGAACCCAGGGGCTCATGCATGCAAGGCAAGCACTCTGCCACTGAGCCACCGTCCCAGCCTAGATTTTGTGTGTGTGTGTGTGGTAGTTAATTGGAGATAGGTGACTCATGGACTTTTCTGCCCAGGCTGACTGAACTGCAGTCCCCAGATCTCAGCCTCCTGAGTGGCTAGGATTACCTTTTAGGATTTATTTTATTGTTATGTTTTTGGTCAGTCGTGGGGCTTGAACTCAGGGCCTAGCCGCTGTCCCTTTGCACTTTTGTTCAAGGCTAGTGCTCTACCACTTTGAGCCATAGTTCCAGTCCCAGTTTTTGAGTGTTTAATTGAAAATAAGAGTCTCATGGGGACTTTTCCACCTTGACTGGCTTCAAACCGCAATCCTCACATCTCAGCCTCCTGAGCGGCTAGGATTAAAGGCATGAACCACAGTACTGGCCTTTTAGGATTTTAATATGTAGATGAACTATGAGCCATCCACACAATAGGCTAAGCATGCAAGCAAACCAAACCTATGTAAACTTGTTTTCTTTTCAAAATCTGAGCTGGACAATTCAAAATGTGTGTTTGTTTGTTTCCACTTGCATTCTTAAAAGAGTTTTTGAGAACCTGTTTAGGAAGGCACACTGTAAAAGCAAATATATTTTCCTTTCATTTTAACTGGGAAGAAAAATTCTAATCCTCTTGAGGTGAAGCCAAAATGAATCAATTAACCAATTAGTTGATCAGCAGTACATTGATACGCAGGCAATTACTGATCTCTCTGAGCTTCCCCCTCCTCATTTATAGCAAAGTGGAGTAGAAAAAAAAATGTATGAAAATTATCCAACTAGCTTACTATCTGGTTAACAGGTCGCAGCTGTTGTTAATAAAAAGCTATCTCAAGGTCAGGTGTTAGTGATTCACACCTGTA